AGCCCGACCATCTCCATTCACCATTTTCTGTCTGTCTTGTATCTATACCACATAATTTGTGTATGTACTTGTTTAAAATTAGAATTCTACAAAAAAAATATTTTTATATTCTCAAGATTTACCAAGAATTTACCGATAAACATTACTTTTTAGTGGCATATGCTCAAACTCTTAAAATGGTATTGAATAAACAATTTTTTTTATTATTTTATATTTTGTACATTTCAAAAAGTAAATTACTTACTGATGTTTAAGCATGTTTGATCATTTTAGGAAGAAAGTCTCACTTATAAAATTATAATTATTATTATTGTCGGGTGTGACTAAAAACATTAATTTTTCAGATATACAATAATAATAATAGTAAAACGTGTATACCAAAGTTCAACATTTTATACAATGTATAATATACCACTTGTATGGGTGGTAAAAATCAACTCTCAAAAAACACACAATATCAAATAAATTTGTCAAAAAATGTTTACAAAAAAAAAAATACATTGTTACTTTAGGAACTTTTAATCTTCGATTTGAAGCACAAGATAAACGGTCAAATCACTATAATATTGTAAATAATTCAATTCACTTTAAATTTCATTGAAATTTATATCATATAGCAAATTACAAAAGTTACAAGACAACAATAATGTGGTGCAGTATACGAATACAATTACGCAATAATGTCAATACCACCGGTCGCGTTCTAATTTCAAAACAATATTTTTGCCTCGGGGTTGCCTCATTTGTCCATTTGCGATTAAGCGATATATATAATAAAAGATCACGACCACTGCTTCGGATGTGCACCTAATCCATAGCAATTGTTGTGTAAAAGTGTGTCCACTTGAACAACAATGAATAAATAATTTATACCGAAGATGTTTGAATTTTCATCACTGTGATAATAATTAACATGATTTGAAAATAACAATTATACACTACTGACTAAAACAAATGGCAATTAAAAACAGGCATAGGGGATAATTACCCCTCCCCCCAACCAAAAACTACAGTGGGCGCACCCCTTATAATATGTTTGCGTTCAAGTGTCTGTACAATATTATTACCTAATATTATACTATGTACATTATCACGTTTGTGTGTGTTTGTTTTTGGTCTTTTGGAGCCAATCGTGGCCAGGGTAGTAACTGTCAAAATAATGTGTACCTTACAATACTACCACTGCTGTATTATAACGTGAAGGGTACGGTACGATATAATTTTAACGTCTGCAGTATATATGATTACAAAAAAGTCGTATCGAAAAACCTTGGAAAAAAGGTAAAAAATGTTTTCGTTCGGTAGTGCAACCACGTCCCATATTGTCATGTCCCGTATCACCATGCGAGTTCATATATTACGGCATACAATATTTTCCATTATTATTATTATTTATTACTCGACTTGTCAACTGTCTTCTTATTTATTTATAAATATACACACGCACTTGTATTGTAAGCCCCAAGGCGATTATCTGGACTAAACCATATCTATAATGATGAGACATCGCGAGAGGTAACCTAAAAAATAATAAGTAATACTACGGTCGGGGGGCAACATTGGACCGGAAGCCATCACCTCGGCCGTAGATGCTCTGTGACCGCGTAGTAAATGTGTTATGTGACACCTGCAGTTTATTTTTATATTATGCTACACAGGGTGTCCAAAGTTTAATTAAATATTTTAAGACAAAAACTAATGTTATAACTGTTCCGTTACTATACCTCATAATCCTGCAATATCCTCTACGATGAATAATAATATATCTATTTCTTATTTATTGGCCATTGTATTTTATTTGACACGGCTTGTTTAGTATTTTTTTAGATTTGCTTCTCAAGTTCTAAACAAAAGGAATTGAAGGTTGGTGTACAATTTTAAATAAACAATACAAACTAGTGTTGTACTATAAGCTCCTGGAGATTCAAATAGTAAAAACAATAAGCAAATAATTAATTCAAAATTCGATATTCCATAGGTTGTACATCTAAAAGTATTTAAAGTCCATAGGTACAATATTTTAATTTGTTTTATTTATTTAAGGGTTGTCTTACAAAAATTATTAAATTAACAAATGAGACGATTTGATATTTTTATACTTTAACACTATTTAATGATGAGACGAGACAAACACGTGGCTCCTAAGGAGAATGGAGGAAAGGAAACTTATGGATTTTCAAGTAAAAATCTTAAAGTAAAGTAAGACCATTATAGATTGAAGAGACTGGAAAGTAACGAGTTGGACACAAAAAAGAGCTAAAGTGACTATAGTGCCATTCGATTAGGACAAGATAACAGTGAGCTAGATAAAGCGTTTTGTATGACTCTTGAATATGACCCATCATGAAAAATGTTAATATTAAAAGACTCCACTGTTTAAAATGAATAGGTAAACATTTAAAAAGACTGAATTGAGGATCAGACTGGAAAGTTCGAGCATCTGATAGGGAAAATTGGAGGATTGAACGGGATGGTCTTAATGACAGATACAAAAAGATCACCTAATAACGATGAAGTACTTATAGTAAGGCATAAGTATTATTGTATTACCTATATTGTAAGAAAGTATATATTAGAAAAGAAAACACTACAACAGCGAACTTCTGTCAAGTTACCCCCCCCCCCCCCCCCCCCCCCCCCCCC